GTCAGGCTGTGGGATGGATGGGGAGGGAAGTGTCCTGCCGGCCTGGAGCAGTAAGCCCACCTTCAAAGAGTTGGGGTACCTTTGTGAGGGTTACCATCCAACCTGGAGACCTTAGTCCTAATTGTCATCCCTCAGGCTGCAAGGTCTCCATTTTCCTCCATTTCCACCCCAGGGTAATTTGACTACTCTTCCTCTTGCCCTTGTTCTTGATGGTCAGGTGACCTAGTGGTCTTTAGAAGAAAGTTCTTTCCTTCTTTTGCCCTAGCCAAAAAAGATTCCCAAGGCTGACCGAAGGGCAAAGCTGCTATGGTTCAAATCTTGGTTCTACCACTTACTAGCCGTGTGGCCTTGGACAAATCCCGTATCCGTATCCCGTCCACACTCAGAGGATAAACTGAGACCCAGAGAGAGATGGGCGTAGCTGGAACACAGAAAATAGGGTTGTGTGGGGAAGGAGATTCCTTTCCCAATCCACTCAAAAGGCAGAAGGCTGCTGGGGCAGAGATAACCCGTCCCCATCTCTCCTGCTAAAGCTCCTCCCTATTTTCCCACACTCCCCACAAATCTGCTTTGGGTCCTCTGGGAAGATGCTCTTTTAGGACTGTTGCCCGAGGCTTGCTAGTTTTAAACACCAGGTGTAACTACAAAGAAGGTGATGAAAATAGGGAGAGGCCTGATGAGCAGAAAGTCTCGAGCCCTCAGCGCCTGGGCTCAGGCCCGGGCTGGATGCCAAGGCTGGCTTCTCTTCCCAGCCCTGGGGCCTTGAGACTCAGCCTCCGAAAGTGATTTTTCCTTAGCCACGGTCATCTAAGTAGAGGCTGGCCTAGACCCTGCCCTTTGGCCATTTTGTGGTGAGCCTGGGCTCCCCGCCCCAGTTACTCTCCATCTTTCATCCTCCGCCAGGGACTGGGCTGGGAGTAGGAAGCTGGAAAGGTTTGCTTGTGTGTCTACATGTGTATGCGGAACTCGAGTCCACGATGCCAGTGTTGGTGGGCTTTGACTGCCCCTTCATACGCTGAGAAGCCACATACCCAGTTTTTTGTTTTGTTTTCTTTTTCTTTTCCTGGAGAGGTTTTTGCTATAAGGCATGTGCGCTTGCCAGAAAGACGGAGAGAGACAGAGACAGAGAGACAGCCAGAAATCACTACACAATCCCTTCTCCTCCATTCTCCTCTTGGGATCTTGGGCATGCATGTACACATGCTTGGCATGAGTTTAAGCCAC